AGTATTAAAGTGACCAAGTAGCACTGGGCTAAAAGTTATTGAATAGTGTTGAAATAAAAAGACAAAATTGCGAAGAATTAAAATATTCCAAGAGCTCAACTTACTTCATCTAAACACGTTTCAGTCGCGTTTTATCAACACATGCACAAGTTTATTGAAGATGAATAAGTTTAAGTTTGTGTGCGACCAATGTCCACTATTGAATTAAGTGTACTACGTACTAGGTTTATGTGTATGATGTGCCTACACTTTATGTATTTAGTGAGGTGAATGCGTGTGGGTGGCTGCGTGTGTGTTTCCATGCGTGCGCGCTGCATGTGAGACAATAGCCGAGCCCTCTGGTGGACTGGCATTCAGCATCAGCTGAGCTCATCGTTGAGAATCCATTCACGCAGTAATTAAATGTTTTGAATCAATGTTCTGAATCATCTTTTCAAACTGCTTAAGGGCAATTAAATTACCCCTGACAAACCTGACTCTGAAGATGAGGCAAAGCAACAGAGCAAGCAAAGGAGCCACTGCCAAAGGCAGCAAATATTTTCTGCCTATGACAAGTGCTCTCCTCATTCAAAAAGCTCTTTGTTCCCTGCTTTGCCAGCGCTAAACAGCAAACACTTCAGGGAATCTGTTCGAGCCACATTTATGCTCTCTCCATCTGCACAAGCCGCTACATGAATGCCGGCCCTGCTATCAAATGATAGACCCATCCATTACGCTTCTTTTGAATGCCATTAGTGGACAATGGAGGAGGATGTCTTTGTTAATAACAGCTTTTGTCAAGCCTAGAAATTTAATTAAGTGAATTTATTGGAGGGAAAAAGGCCAGTTTGGAAAACACTTGTAACCTCATAGATAAAAAGGCTCCTGCAGATTATCTGCAATTGTGACATTTTTTTCATTAGGATGTCAGTGTTGCTATTCACAATCTGAGAAAAGACAGCACCAGTGTGGCCGTGCAGCTCCATGAAGTTGATTGATTTTTGCATCTGCTCGCCTTTGAAAAATGCGTGATTTACAGACCACACACAGAAGTCCACACTTTTCAAAACAGTTTTATTTGCAAAAAAGGTCAAAAGGTTCCCTCTTGCTGTACTTAAATAATCACTTTTAGAAGAAGAGACTTTATATTAAATGTCTGTATTGTGTCTCCTGCTTCAGCCTCTAAGCTGAGAAACTTAGTTTGTGAAAAACATCGTAGTAAGTTGGATGGAAGCAACGATAACGGCGCCGTTATTTGCCGTCATAATGCATCGCCTCATTGTATTGCAGCAATGATACACAAACAAGACTCACTTGGGTTGAAAAGGAGGAGGAATTTCAGACAGGCGATCTCTCTGCGGTCGACCTGCAGCACCCGCAGCCTCGCTGCCAGCTCCTGACCTCTCTGGACCAGACTGGAGAGCGTCCCCTCAGCCTGAGACAGGATGGACGACAGCTCCACCTGCAACACAGCTACTGGTTACTTCCTTTGCCCCTTATATTCATGAGACTTTAGCAAAGGACAAATATCCCCGGGTTAGTGCGCTGGAGGATTGTTTGCCTATCAAAGGATTAAAGCATTTGCCTGTTTAGCACGTGGCTAACAAATCCACGCCCCCTGGACGGGGCAGCGTGAGCGGGGACACGATTACATCTAGTGTAGCGGCGGCACTCCGTCTCTATTTCACTCTTCTGTACCACCTCTAGGAGTCAATCTGGCAACACGCATTTGAAACGCGAGCGAGTCCAGGTCCTTTTCTTGCAAAAAAGATGTTTATTGAAACTTTTAATTTACATGGCAAGACTCAATCACAAAACTGTGTTGCTTCCAGCTTATCCGACTCCCCAACTACGTAATTACAGTGTGCCGGGAGCCCAAAATACTAAAAAGCGCATTAGAACGTCGCACTTTTATATTCTATACCTTTAACCTTTTAGAAATTATATTCTTAACATCAAATGTATATTTCTCCTCTAATCATTTTACCAATAAAATTAACCTTTAATTGGCTCTTACAGCTAGCATCACCTCTGAGTACATAAGTGTGACATTTTATGTTTTTCCACAGTGTCGTTTTAAGTATTTGACTTTCCAAACACTAAAGTTTACTTGTTAAGGTTATCTGCACCCATTTTGTAGAGAATATCGATCCCGGGGAAATTTCAGATTCCCTCACAATGATGACAGTCTAACCAGAGTTATATATGCTTGCAAACACTGATATACGAGTAAGATGAATTAAATAAAGACAAAGAAACATAAACAGCCTTAACTTTAACACCAAACTGGACTTTGAGAGATTTATTGGATAAACAGCCTTTCCAGAGTTTCCCTTTTTTTCTATATGTTCTATAAGTTTATTGAATTTCACTAATATTGTAACTATATGTTTATTCTGATGAGACACATATGCCTCTATAGATTTAGTTTAGAGCAGTGGTTCTTAACCTGGGTTCAATCGAACCCTAGGGGTTCGGTGAGTCGGTCTCAGGGGTTCGGCAGAGCCTCCACCTTGACGTGCACGGCTCATTTTGTGCACCAGTAAAAAACATATCTATGTCTTGAATTTGAAAAAAATCATATTTTATTTTTCACTAAAGAGGGGTTCAGTGAATGCGCATATGAAACTGGTGGGGTTCGGTACCTCCAACAAGGTTAAGAACCACTGGTTTAGAGCATGGAGCTTTTGCATTAGTTTGAACGACTGTTAGGATCAGAGTATGTTAGTACAGATATCAACAGCCAGTGAAATATAAATGAATACTGCTAAACATAGTGAATATATTTTTATACAACAGTAAAAACAAAACTCCTCTGGATCGGGTGCAGTGCGTGGAGCACACTGGGTGGTGTGCTGATGGGAAGCTGTGCGAGGGAGTTGTTACCTCCTGGCCGGTCACCAGCAGAATGCTGTCTTCCTTTGCGTGCTGCACTTGTCTGAAAATGTGATCCAGGACGAGCAGCTCAGACCAGCAGTTATGAAGCAGCTTCATTTGATCTCCCACCTTCAGACAGACGCAAGAGAAGCAGATAAAGAACAAAGATGAACTCAGTGGAAACAAAAGACGTCTCATATTGTTTGATAAACACATCGAGCTCGTTCCTGACCAGGAAGACGAAAATATTTACACCACCGTCACCAATTAGTCTAAACAGGAATATGGGGAAAAAATTAGGCTTTTAATAGCAAAAACAGAGTGTGTGTGTGTGTGTGTGCTCTCCTTTCATACTGGCCCAGCAACACCTAGGACCTCTCCAGCCTTCTCACCTCTCCCCAGCGCCCCCACCTTTCCCTTTTCTGCTCTGGGGGATGGGTGCACACGTGTTCCCCCCACCCAACTGTATCACACCCATAATCCTGCTGCCACAATATTGTCTGTAAAGTGAAGGACACAGCAGTCAGTAATTCTGCGGTCGCAGCTGCTAATAGGCCCAGACCCCATTCATCTGACATGGAGCTGACAGAATTACAGTCCATCTGAATGAAGCTATATATCAGTCACAGAGGTTGCAATCTTGCCACAACACTCATCTGCACCGGTGCAGTGGTGGGGGTCTGGGCGTGCGGTGATAAAGGAAGGGGTTAAGGAAGCAAGAGGTCTCGGCGACCTCCTTTGCTTCCTCT